TTTTCTAACAATATAAGTCTTTATTATCACTTTTTTTTAAACATTTAACACATCCTTGCTGAATAAAATAATAAATTTCTTTAAATGACTGACCCCAAACTTTTGAACGGTAGTGTATATTGTAACACAAAATTTCTATTGTGAATAAACACAGTTCGTTTTAACGTTTTATTTATCAAAGAATCCTGAAAAAAGTATCACAGTTCTCAAAAAATATTAAACAGAACAACTGTTTCCAACATTGATCGTAAATCAGCATATTAGAATGATTTCTGAAGGATCATGTGACACTGAAGACTGGAGTAATGATGCTGAAAATTCAGCTTTGATCACAGGAATAAATTACATTTTAAAGTATATTAAAATAGAAAACTTTTATTTTAAATTGCAATAATATTTCACAAAAACAATAATATTTTCTCAAACTTTTGAATGACACTGTATCTATATTTACATATATTTATACGGTATATCTATATTTACACTTTAATTTTGAATGTAACTTGTTATTGTTTAACATTTATTTTTATATTTTATGTAAAAAAAATGAAACATTTGACACACATTTTATTTCAGTAATTTTTTCTTTAAAAGAAAGCAATAATAGCTGATAATTATTCAGGAAACCCCAAGGCAGCCATAAATAACCCTTCTAATTGTTCTAGCCTAGCCTACTTTCTCCTTCAAGCCCTTAAGTATTTCTGATCTTTCTTGTTATTGATGTGCAGGTGTCTGCTGAGAGTGAAGTCAATAAGATGACCAATGCCAACCTGGCTGTGGTGTTTGGGCCCAACTTGCTGTGGGGGCAGGATGCTTCCATGACACTCAGCGCGATCGGACCAATCAACAACTTCACCCGCATCCTGCTCGACCTACATCAGGAGGTCTTTATCCAGTGAGGAGCGGGAGAACTTTTCACGAGGACTCCTCTCCGGTTATTGTCCCTCTCCGTTCCATAGCTTTGCTCCTCTGTTGCCGTGTCCCGTCCTTCGTGTCTCCCTCAGTATTGCCAAATGCATGAGTATTTTAACTGGGTGAAGCTATGAAAAAAAAAAGGATACTGGAGGGCACAGAGCGGTCAAGCTGTCACAAACGTTTAGGCTGTGATCAAATTCTGACAATCGTCTCCTTTTCTCTCCTGCAGAAGTCATGTAGCTGTTGTCAGACATAATGGTACTGCACAGGCACAAGAGTTTTTATATGGTGTGTTAGCAGAGGCCTAAATCAGTAAACCAACAAAGTGTACAGGTAGCTGCTTTAGTTTGTTTTGGTAGCTCATCAGCTTGCTTTGGATATTGTTTGTTCGACTTGACCGAATTCATTTCAGTTCAGAAGTAAAATTAGACTACATGCACACGTCCTCATTTTTGTAAGCCATAGTTGGCACAAGCTATGGACAAGTATAAAGCACTACTACTCAAACTTGAAACACTTATTTTAAACATGCATTTCTTATTACATAAAATATATGGTATTATGTATTGTCTCAAAGAACTTTCATTCAGTCTTCATTTATATTATCATATCATTATATTATTTTTTTCTAGAATCTTTTTGTGGCGTCTCAGTGATTCCAGGAACGGGGCAGATGCTTATGGCCAGCACAAATTTCCTGATGCTGAAACAGAAAAGGAAAGTTATTTTTCTGATCAAAACCTCCGCTTCTTCTATCTGTATGTGTACTAGTTTTGTATGGTCTGTTCAGTAATTCCGTTGTATTATTCTACCCCAGACATATTTATTTTGGCCAAAGATTATATGGTTAAAATGTTTGTGTGATCAATTTTATTTGTTACTAGAAGACGTACTGCCTGTCGGGGACGGTGCCATTACACATGGGCGCATTTAAAACAAAAGCCAGAAGACAGAAATAGCAAAGAACAATTTGATGTCATTTTGTCATCTTAGTCAAATTGTGGTTTTATCTATGAGGAAACATATATAACTCGTGCAATGAGTTATTACTGGAGTGCATCAAATCCAAGTACAGCATCCAATTGAGTCTGGTTTCATGGGTCTGAATTCCAAAAGAACCATAAAGCAGGTACTTGGGCACTAATTATTTAGCACTAATGAGTTGTGTCATATGCCTTGATATTGAATTGTAACTGTTTACTGTGTCATGTTAACGTCCTATTCATGTCAATCCATCCGAGCATTGACATGTGGACCAGTGGCTTAAATAGTTTGACAAGCACCCTCAAACCCAAGTGTCTCTGTGCCTTAATGGAGTGAACTGGCGATGATATTAGCTGTTAAATTCCCTTTCTCTGGACAGATCTGTGAACTTTGTGCCATTTTGTTGTACCTGTATCCAAACATCTACCTGTTTACCTGTACTGTAGTGTATTTCTGGTTTCCACGTGGAACTTTGCATTACTTCTTTTGTGAAGGTTCTTCCATTTTGGCTGTTAAGGTGTATTCTGTGCTTTTGAAATCTTTACTTTTGTATATCATGTTGTGATTTCAGAGTAATAAATCGTTAGAGATGGTGTAAAAAAAAATGTCCCTCTGTGGGTTTGTTTTATAAGCTTTAGAACGTCCACTGGTTGTGGTGAGCAAATAAAAACACTTTTACCACAGTTTTCTTATAAAAGCAGGAAGATATATTTAATTGGCTTTTACATATTTGTCCCCAAAATAACTACCCTGTGAGTATAACAAAAAACACTAATTATAAATACAGGTGATTATATCTTATTTTGGAACACAATCATTGCCAACAACATCATCTAGAAAGGGCAGAAATGGCATATTAATTAATACAAACGGCAACATGATTACATAGTTAAAGGTCACACATTCTGTTTTTGTTCAATTTAAGTGATAAAATAAACATTTTTGAGGTAGTCTTCATATAAAATTGATCTGTTGTACTGGACAGAATTGTGTTATTTGAAGTTGGAGAAACAGGTCGTGCCCCGCTTATAAAGGCGCATGTGTGTGTATTTGACAGAGCAGAGGTGTGGGTAATGGTAATTCGTGTGCGTGTCTATAATGTGAGAGGGACCGTGTGATGATGTGTATGCACTGTTCCTGTAGGGAGGAGATTCTCTGGCTCCTCACACCCAGCTGAAGCTCACTTTCAGGGGCCGTAGAGCTCACCAGAGGATACAGAGCCTTGCTGACCTGCAGGGAACACAAAAGTTCCAGGAGCATTCTAAATTCGCACATTTAACTTACATCCAGTACTTCCACATACTCAATGCAGTGATATTTACCTGCTCCAGTCCAGTGAAGGCCACCCCAAGGTTCACTCCATTTCGGAAGAATGTCAGTGTTCCAGCACTCAAGTCCAGCAAAACCCCAATGACCGTATTTCTTTCATAAAAAGGCTCTGTGTATTTTCGACTCCTCCCATTATGCCAGATGAAGCCTTTGTATGATAGACCCCAACTCTCACTGTCGATGCCTTTGAAGAAAGAAACAGGACGATCAGAACAATAACATAAACAGTTTCAACGATTCAAAGAAAAACATCGTGTGCTTGTCCTGTACTTTTCCTCCCTTGTTTATCTATGCGGCGTTGATGGGACACAATTCCTGTTTGATAATTAGATGATGTCATTCATTTTTAGGTTGTCAAGTAAGATCAACCTGAGGGAGTTTATGTCTGTGCTGAGTGGGGCTGGGCTGGGCTGATTTGGTTGAAGAAGAATATAAGCATTCCTAAAAGGAACATGACACCTATGAGGTTAACAAACTTTTGATCCCCTGTGTGCAGAAGTGCATTTTGGGTACCGACCCCCACCATCACAGAGCTTCATATGGAGGCTCAAGGAACTCAATCTCCCAGTAATGCTCACCATGAGTGAAACCTTTACACAGAAATATGCGTTATTCTGTGGTAATCGATTATTATCAGAAAATTCTACCACAACACATGATAGTTATCCTCAGGACTGCTGAGCAATACTCTACTAGAGAATAACAAAAGCCTTACTAACATTACAATTGCTGGTTAAAAATGAACTTGAACCAGGCTTGATGCAAAGGAAACTAGCACTTAATGTACAACTACTTATCACTGAACGTCTATACTCCTAACACAGTATCAGCCTGGTTAAATGTAACATTGTATTTGAGCTGACTTGTGAACAACAAAAGCAGCGCTATTCACTCACTAGTCTCACATTTGGTGCCTCTGACCCCAGCAGTTCCTTGACTGTCCAGCAGAGGGCTGATATGAAAATATACGGCTTGTCGGCACAGAGACAGATGAGCATCAGGAGATTTACTGTCCGGATCCCATTCCCAATTCTCCCAGGTGTGACCTCTAAAAGAGCGCAACATTTGCTCTCTACAACACAGCATATCATACATATCAATGGCTGTACAGTAAAAAAAAAAAAAAATGTAGCCACCCAATATCCCCATTACCAAAAGCAAAAATAGTTTGCCATCATTCGAATATTTCTAAGTTAACATACATAAGTTATTACATACACACAACGAGTGTACTATGCTGCGATATCTAGCCTATTTCTTGATATTTCAAAGAGCGGAGACCATTCAGATGAGTGAGCACGACGTGCATATCACATATACTATAGAGAAAACATACATGACTTACCAAGTGTAAACTAAGTTATGTAATCCGATGTGTAATGAAGAAGAAACTAAAACTTTCTTTTAGACACTTGAAATCCGCTTTTAAAAAGGAATAAAGGCTACATTGTCAAGTTTACATGTGGGTGTTCAGACAGCTGGACGATAGAAAAACATTTCACAACTGCTGTCAAAACAACATTGGATTTATCTAAATATGGAAGTAGGCGTGTATTTCGGCGCTCATGAATTTTAAAATGTTGCTTGGTAGCCTTCCAGTAACGCACCCTAATTAATATTCATAAGCCAAGCCTGAACTAACGAATATTCATTAGCTAGTGAACTCCAAGGTTTGCCTAAAGACAATGTTTTAGACCAGTTCAGCATGTAGGGGAAACAAAAACAGGCCTGTCTGAAATAAATCAGTTTATTACACAACATTTACATGCCATATTAACAAAGTGAGGAGAGAAAGAAGCCACTTAAAATAATAAAAGGTCCAGCTCCTAATGACTTGCCAACATAAGCTTTAAAAAAAAGCATTCCTCACCGATTAAAGACCTGACGAGTAGTAATGATAAACTTAAAAAAAAAAAAAAAAAAAGATGAAAAGTAATGGTAAAATGCATTTACAGGAAGCAGGTAAGCAGACAGACTCACAATTCACTATTGTCAGTGTTCACTTGTAGTGTCGTTCATGTTTAAGCCTATAAAGTAAAAACTGGACATATTCTCAGATATTTTACATTTTCCCTTAAATAAAAATGGCAAGAGAATTCAGATGGTGCCAGCAGTACAATGAGAGAAATCTGCTTCAGTGACTAGTCAGTGAACTGCATGTGGTGTTGTGATGGGCAAAACAAAAATAAAGGCTGGTACAGGTTTATACATTCATTACAGTGAGCTTTACTTACACAGTTCTGCTATTTTAATAAATACAAGGGTTGGAAATTTAATGTTGCTCTGTTCCTGTAACAGATGCTGCTCTCCTTATACCTCAGTTCACTTTTTTTCTTGAATGATGATTCTCTTCATAGCTTAGTGCACAAGGAAAAACTGACACAAAACATGGTTAATGTAGACATCCAATGAGGGATGCTTCAGTGAAGGAAGCAAGAAGAGTAAAGAAGTTGTGAAGGATGCAATCTCTGTTCTGTTTTATTGTAGCGTGTCCACAAACGCATCAAACTCGTCAATGTTCTTCTCATAAATGGCCAGTTTCTCTGGAAGAGAGTCCTGCAAAAATACATGTTCACTGTACCAAACATCTAATAATGAACACATCACAATGTTACTATGACATGAATGTGAATAAGTCACCCTATGTATAATTTGTATACAGATTCTGTTTTTAAGTCAACTTCATGCAATTATTTCAATGGTTCTTAATTTTATTATCCACACAATAAAACTTTTTCCTTAAGACTTTAACACCAACCCTGGTTTGGTGCTAAAAACGGTAAAATCTGTAATGTAATTTTACCTACAGTATATGAATACTCTCTGTGTCTCTACTCTATGTATGTTCTCATGCCTTTCATGCTTTAAAGGTCAACCTGTCCCATATAGACTACAAAAATGTTCAGTATATGCTTTGACAAGAATTTGTTTGTTTCTCACCAAATCCTCAGCCATAGACTGAACGCTGACATCGATGGACAGGCTTGCAAGTTGAGGAGGGTTTTGAAACTCTTTATAGAAAGTTCCCAGATCCATTGGCAGAAGGTCATCCTTAGAGAATGCTGGTTTCTGTTTGGCACACAATCACAGAACTGGTCTTTAAACATAATTGGACCATATTCGGCTTTTACCACACACTTAGAACAATATCTGGTCCTGGAGTTTAGTGGCTACCTTAATCAAACTCACCTCCCTGTAATTTTCAAGCAATTCTGAAGATTTAATTTAGATTTTTCATGTGTGTTTGTTTAGGAGCTAGTTTTTTCTTGTTTTTACTTTTCTAGTAACATTTGTATTGATTTTAGCCCAACACTAGAGCTCTGATCAACACCAGAACAGTGTTGCTCTGTCATGCAGAAACAGACTTTAAAAAAAATAACATGATCAAGCAGGTCTCTTTGGACCTCTCTTTTGCAACATCAACTCATTAGCTTCAAAGACTTCCAATTGGTGTGGGATACTGCATCATTTAACATAGTGTATTTATGAAATAAAAATAAAGGAGAGTAAGGTCTTCTTCAGATTTATTAAACATCAAGCATATGTAGCTTTCTCTCAGGTCAGAGTCTAAGTTTCTTTTTTTGATGAATAATTGACTTGTCTGGATCACTAGATGCTCTGTCAAGGGTTTGATAAAACTCCTTTCTGCTGTCAAACCTCTCACAAGAGGAATCAAAAACAACAAAATGCCTACCAGTACCCAGCTCTCTGGTACTCAACAGTTCCCATTCACTTAATGTACTGATGCAGTGCCTTTCAATGTGCTCAATGTTACATAGTTCTCAATATCTGGAGAGGAAAGCAGATCTTGATAAGTGTATTTTTATTATGTGTTGGTGCACTTACAAAGTCAACCATGACAAAGTCGTCTTGTGGCTGCCCCCCGCTGTGGCTCGAGGTGTTTGAGTGCAGGCTGCCTTGCAAAGGAGATGAAGGAGCCGGGGACGGAGGAGGGTGCACCTGCAAACAGAGAAAAACACCTCTAAATCACACACACACACACAAAAAACATGAGAAGACAGTGGACGATGCAGTGGGTTTTCTTAATATGAAATGCATAGTAAGTATGGGTGTTTTTTGCTTTCAATACCATTGGGTCGTTCTCCTGCAGGTCATAGGCTCTTGGAGCGAATGCAGCAAAAGGAAGATCCAAACTGGTTGTTGTCACCTGAGTTACACATACACAACACATCAGAATGCATTTTCACCTCCCAATGAACATGACAGTGACTTTTTGCACTTATCAGTAATACTTCTTTTACTATGCACTTATTAAACACGTTACTAACAAGTCTTGAATTCATAATATTAACAAATACAAGCTTAATATATACACTACCCTTCAAAGGTTTGGGGTCTGTACACAAAAAAAATAAATAAATGAACAATTTTAGTCATACAGAATGCATTAAACTGATCAAAAGTCAGTTACAACATTTAAAATGTTACAAAAGGATTTCTATTTCAAATAAATGATGTTATTTTGATCTTTTGATTCATTTAAACAATTCAGAAAGAAATTAAGGTGTGCTATGTTGCTCAACATTGACAACAATAATAACAAGAGGAAAGCTTTCTTGCATATTAGATTGTTGTCTGAAGCATCATGTGACACTGAAGACTGGAGTAATGGTTGCTGAAAATTCTGTTTTGCTATCACAAGAATAAATTAAATTTTACAACATATTAAAACAGAAAACTGTTATTTTTAGTTGTAACAACAATTTTTACTGTTTTTGATTACATTTAACCTAGGGGAGCATATGAAACTCTTTTCAAAAACATTAAAAAACCTCACCGACCACAAACTTTTGAATGCTAACTGTATGCTTAACTGCTCGGTAGTTCATGTAGATTTTTATGAGAATGTAAGAACTATTTCAATGTACATGAAGGTAATTTTTGTTTTCTAAGCTATTATATATTATTAATGTATTCTAACCTGAGTGGTGGCTTTGTTGACAAAAGCTCCAACTTTCCTGGTGAAGGTGGTCTCTAGCGCATCAGAGGGGGACACAGTCTTCACCTCGCTACCACACACACACACAAACATGGAATCAAATTTAGCTGAACTGACAAATGAAAAATCAGCATTGAACAGTCTGAATCTCCTCACAGTGACTCTTACCTACTACAGGATGTGGGCGGTGCCAGCTGAGGGGATTGTCCAGTGGGGCATGAAGGGATACGACCATGCTCAGCTGCAGTGCCATGAGTAGGTTGAGCCGGCACCTGTGGGACTCCACCTTCTTTGCCAGGCACAACCATCTGATTAGGAAGAGACACATACTTGGCCACTTCAGTCAGGTCAAAACAACACACACACTTCTGTTAACAGGTGCAAGTAATTCCAAGCAGCTGTTCTACATCAGAAGGGATGAGGGGCATGAAGTTATGATAGGGAAAGTGGTGCTTTTGCATGTGCGTAATGCGTATGCACTGGTGTGTTGTGTGCTGTACCTGGTGAGGATGTGCAGCAGCAGTACAAGCCGTAGGATGACACAAATCCACAGTTCCCAGGGCAGGAGTCTGATATGACAGACGAGAGCTGTACAGCTGAAAGACAGAGAGAGATTCATATCACAATAAGAGTCAAATGTCAGATCAAGAGGCCTTTTTAAGTCTGGTCCTGTATAAACCTCACTGCAGAGCAGAGAGCAAGAAGGATCAGAGTAGTTATCAGAGCAAACACACAAATGCTTCAAGTAAAACAGCAGGCAGGTCAGCTCAAGGAGAAGGCAGCAGTGATTGTGTGCGTTTGCCTGAGCAGTGCTCAAACAATCTGTTGTGTGAGTGATACTGTATAACCCTCTTCATTAAAAGGTTATACAAGGTTATGAAGGGTAAGCTGTGGAGTATAGGTTACTGGGGCAGGCCACACACACTTTTTACTTTAATTAATATATCAGCTGCATGTGCGTACACACACTTCTCTCTCACACACACTGGACTCACTTGCTGTGAGATGCCAAGCCCCATGAGGGGAACCTTCAGTGTGGCCATCAGAGTCGCCTTAGGTGTCTTAAAATGTGCCTGACTTACTGTACACACACACTACATGCACACAGAAAGAAAGAAAGAAAGAAAGAAAAACAAGGCAACAACAGAAATGAAACCACTACCACAGAAAGAGATAATGGAGAGAGAGAAACTGATTCCATGGTCACACAAATGACTTTAACACTAGTCTGAAGATTTTTGAACACTTTTGTACTGAAGCAAGTACACCAAGACCAGTATTATTTTAGTATTATTTATATACTTTTTAAAATATATATGAATTTTATGTTTTATTTTGCCTTTGTTTATTTCAGCGTTGTCATTTAGTGAATTTAGCTAACAAAAACAACACTGATCAAGACAGCAAACTAACCAAACACAGCAAAAAGAAGAAAAAAAAATGAAAAGAAAACAACTAAGTATAGGGAGGAAATGTACTGTACTTAGCAGCAATCTCAAATCATATTCATGGCTGGAGGAATATGAAAACTATAATCACATTTAAAGAATGAGACCTGTTCATCAGGGAACTGCTGAAAGAGACTCATGAATGAAAACAGCTTATCCATTGTGAGAGGTTAACAGTTAATCTCTTAATGACAGGCTGCACTGCACCTGTACTGAAGCCTGGCTTGTACAAGGAAGGTGGTGAAGGGTTATATTCAATGGGACAGATGGAAAGGTGATAGAGACGGCATTACCTGCGATGGTGGGGAGGTGGAAAAGGACGTGGTGCACACCTCCTGAGAGTCTTCTATTCCTGCATAAGTCCCTCCCTCATCTTCTCCAGGTGCTCTAAGAGAGAAAAAATAAAAGAGCTGGTTAGAGGCCAGAGGACAAGAAAGCAGAGTCATCAGTTTGAATCCCTGTACTATCAATATTATCAAACGTGTTTTTTTGTTATTAATGGTTTAATTCCAACTTATTCTGAATGCTGAAAAACATTTAAAAATTGTATGTCTTACTAGTGGACTATAAAAAAAAAATCAAATATTAATTTTGATTTAAATAACAATACAGGTGATATTCTACACTGCGATATACACAACAGTATGAGGTTGGTAAGATTTTTTTAATGTTTTGGAAATTAGTCTCTTGTGCTCACCAAGACCACATTTATTTGACCAAACGTACAGTTAAAACAGTAATAATGTTAAATATTATTACAATTTAAAATAACTTTTTCTATCTTAATATACATTACAATGTAATTTATTCCTGTGATGATAAAGCTGAATTTTCAGTTGCCATTCCTTCAGAAATCATTCTAATATGCCAATTTGGTGCCTAAGAAACATTTCATATTATCATATTATTATCAATGTTGAAAACAGTTTAGTACTTACTGAATATTTTGTACTTATTGAATATTTTGTATATTGTGTGTTTTTTATTTTTTACAGAATTCTTTGATGAATAGAAAGAACAGCAATTATTCGAAATAGAACTGTTTTGTAACAATGTAAAAATATTCATTGTCACTTTTGGTCAATTTGTGCCTTTGTTAAATAAAAGTATTAATTAAAAAGTATTTCTCACCCCAAATCTCTGAACAGTAGCTTATCTTTACTGTGATTATGTGTTTATTTTTACACACCTGTAACTGCAGGGATGCATGTGTGCCATATTAGTGAAGGGACGCTCCACATAATGATCAATGATGATACCCATGATAGGGCCTGTCCTCTCAAATTGCCTGCGAGACACACAAGGACAATATCTTGCACAACACCACTACAAAACGATCCAGAATATCTGAATACTTGAATATGTTGCATTAGTGCTGGACAGTTTGACCAAAAATCTGTATCACAGTTTTTTTTTTTTAGGATTGTGGCAGTTTCACATTTTATCATGGGTTTTTGTATGAACATTTATATGAATCAGAATGCATGAAACAGTTGCAGAACCACTGGGTTTTAATCACGATCCAAACAAAGATGATGCATGAGCAGTTTTTGATTTAAATTAGATATATTAGGTATATTTTCACAATTTAAAGCAAAACCAGAAAGGTCTGACTTTAGCTTTGTGAAAGTGTACTACATAAAACATATCTGCACGAAACAAAAACAGCAAATGGGCTGAATGAGAACGCAAATTTTCTCTCTGACAGCAGGTGGTGCTAAGGGAGAGCAGAAGTATAGCGTTTCCCTGGTTACCGCTGTAAACAAAGCAGCGAAACTACTTTAATATGCATTAAATGGAGGCAAAACGAAAAGAAAAATACCATCTAAACTTTTCTGAAGACAGTCAGCTCACCTCAGAAATACATTCATATAACCCCCCACTCCCAATTCAGTATTTAGGATTTTCTTCCAATATTTCATGCATTGTGAACAGTGAGCTTGCTCTGCCTGCTACAGTATTTTCTCCTCTTGCATTGCGACCTCTGCCAGGTATCAGAAGTAATTATCATTATTCTTTTGTTTTTAATCAGCCATTATTCTGGCATTACATGGATTACCCACATCTCTTCGATCCCAGTATACATTTACCCACCTAGTGGAAGTTCATCATAAGAGGCAGGGCGTGTTATGAACGCGTAATATGATCAAAGTCCCTTTGATATGATTGACATTATGAGCAGCGAATGAGCTTCCTCCGAGTCAGAACAGCGATCGCGGAAGAGAAAACAGACAGACAGCGCTGGAAGCAGGGTCAAGGCTAGAAGTGATACAGCTGCGGCTACTGGGAACACACTGTACAACAATAATTACTGTTTTTGCATTATTGTAAGGGGTAGGTTTAGGGTTTGTGTAGGTGTAGATGTTCATAAAACAATCTAATAGGTAGAAATATTAATTTAGCATAAATCAATGGAAAATTAATAAAAATTATTATGTATGAAGAAATATGAAGTAGGCATGTGTAAATATATCAATACTTCTCCAAGTAGTACGCACACTTTGACCTATAAGCCCTAACAGAAGCTGTTCAGTGAAGTTATGTGAACACAAATAAACTGCAGCAGATGTGACTGAATATGAATACGTGTTTTTATTCTGTTCAAAATATCATGCATTATTTTGCACTCCTGACATAAATTAAGAAATTACTGTCACTGCAACCGTGTTTTATCATAAGAGTGGTCAAATATCGAAGCTGGAGTCTTAAATCTTTCTAATGATAAACAGTTTGTCCAGATCAAGTAGTTAAGACGTTTTAATGTGCTGTGAATGTAAAACAACAATAATCTGAGGCTGCGGCAATATTTGCATGTTGAGTTAATGGTCAACTCTCAATTCACAATGCTGTCAAAAAGTCATACTGGTTGTGTAATTCAAAACAGTTTATCGCCCAGCACTTGCATACAGGAAGATGTAATGCATACCTTGAAGACATGAGGGCCAAATTAGTGCGATATGCACAGGACAAAGTGATGGTGCCTATGGGAGTGCCTACAATACCCACTCGCACTGTCTGGAACCCTGCAGAGAGAAGTGAAGAAGATACTACAGAACATCTACACATCCTTTATTAGTACTTTGAAGAGAGCCCTTCAAACTATTACCTTCCCCGAGACCCGTCAGCTGGACGTCTCCAAAATAGATCCTATCAAAGAGATATTAATCAATCTGACTGTACATGATATCCTTTTTTCCCCTCTATGAACTCATGTATCAGGCAATATAAGGCTTTGTGGAGTGTAGAAGAAAGTGCGTTGAGTACCTGTAGAGTATGACATAATCATGCCCTTGTTTACGTGAAAGCTTGTAAGCAGGTGTCACCCTTGTGATGGCCAGCAAAGACTTGAGCAGCAGAGACAGCCGATTATAAACTGTATAGGATACTTTAATGTCCTTATCACACCTGGAAGAAAATGCTAACCCGAGTTATGCCCCAGTATAGAAAATATTGACTTGCTGATAATGTATCAATCTCAACACAGAGCAGTTCTCAGCTGATTGCTTTGTCCTGTCTGTATAGGGGAACTGTGTGTGCTTACTTTTCATTCATTTCCAAACACCACGTCTCCAGCTCCATGGAGTCTCCCTGCATGGGTAAACACAACTTCTTAATACTCAAGTAAACATCTTTTTATTAAGTTGGGCATTTTGTCAAGATACTTTTATTATATTGATGGTGAACTGAAAGAAAGACTAGACCTCTGAGGTTTTGAGGGAGATCTCCACACACATGGATCGGCCGATGCCAGGCAGCTGTCCAGCAAGAGCTTTTTTTGCTTCATGAGTCACCTCTGGGATGTCTTTTATTGCCAGATTAAACTGAATAAAATCATGAAAACAACCAGACACGCAGATCTCATGTTAGGTATGATGTAAACAAAGCAGGACCATTGTATGTGAAGTGTCCTGGATGTGTCTTACCCAGTCTGAACCTGTCGGTGATGAAGAGGAGCAAGTGTTGATCTTCTCTCCAAGCCGGGCTTGAACTATAACTTGCACTGTCTGAAAGACACACATAAAGCAAAGGATATCATCACCCTGTCACCTGGGATACCAGATTTCATGCATGCAATAATACCCTTAGTACTGTAGTGTTTAATGCAATCACCTTCAAGGCAAAGAATTTGATGAATTTATCCAAGTCTTTCTTGTCCTGTGGGCTCAGATCACTATCCATTGCCACACGCACCTAAGACATACAAATTAAAGAGTTTCCTCAGTGCACAGTTAAAAAGCCGATATAAATAACACACTAACTGAAAAAGTACATAATACAACTGAAAGTCAGGTCAATTAGTAGGGTAAGATGGAGGAAAAAGCCCCTTTAATAATAATGTACATTTACATTTAACATATTTTAAAATAGTAACATATTTAGATACAACATGTACAAGATGAGTGTTATAATGTAAAATACTGCATAGTCTATTCTATCTAAAATTTTATTTTTGTTGAATATTTGAATGACTGATGACAAAGCAGATTTAATGAATAGCAAAGATGCCTGAAATGTACATATAACTCATAGAATTACTGCATAATAACCATTGTATTATAACATATTACATTATTATAATATAATAACGATAACATGCCATTAGGGCTTTCGGTGGCAAAACTACTACAGAACTTCAAAATATATATATTTTTTTATTTCCATAGATGTAAAAACTTTAATTGGTCCACAAATTCCTAATTAACAAACAGACACAAAATCTTTGATATTCGACATAATGCAATGTCACAGATCACTATTTTCCAAAGATAACAAATTAGATAAGTTAACCTAAAAAGTGTTTCGACTAACGAAATCTTAAAATGTCGATATTCAAAGAGTATTCCATGGAGTTTGTGAGATTGTGTGCCTTCTATAGTCAAGAGGAAAAAAATAAGGTGGGGGTCATCTTGCACCATCCTACTCTAATAATAGTAATAATTAACGAATTTACTGATGTCTTTGTGTCATTAGTACTGTCACATCTTTAAGGCAGCTCGCCTCTAGGCATTTAAACATGCTCTGAATAGAAAACAACAACAACACAGCAAGTTACACAACACAACACTAAAACACCTTTATAGCAATCAGTCAAATGACAGCTGCCAGTTCATCCGACTCAAGATCTGAAAACTGTAGACCTGCCATTTGTTTCTCACAGTCAAAACATCTCAAATTGTTTACAATTATCTGTATGTCTGCGCAGCCAATGCTAACCCCTTAGCAAAACATGTGCACATACTTACAGCTCATCACAGAGCGGAGATTCAACTGTTAACACGTAGAGTATGAAGTTAAGTGTGCGATACACCGTGGCTGATTGCGTGAAATGATCAAATACAGCCTAAACGATCCAGTATTTTCAATTAATCACATCGTAGCACCACAACGTCACACAGTGACAGGCGTCGCATGTTTGTTTATTTTGCTTGTTTCGCGAGAGAGAGCAAGCGCAAATCCTGGCAGCGGCAGGTCGCAGCGCCACTTCCGGTGGCATCCCCAGCTGCCACTGGCAGCTGCCAGAGTTCGTGGCAGAATTGTATTATTATTATTATACATTTTTATGTATCAGTTGCCAGAGTTCTTGCCAGGAGTCAAAGGCAGCTGCCACGGTCTTTCTCGCCGTTTCTGCTGTTTGCTCGGTAAAACTACACTGTACTCAGTGGCGTGCGGTGATGTTTTTTAAAATGATGCTGCAAAGTTCCCACAATTTTATTATTATTATACTGTACATTTTTATGTATCAGTTGCCATAGTTCTTGCCAGGAGCCACTATTCGTTTCTGGCAGCTGCCATGGTCTTTCTCGCCGTTTCTGCTGGTTGTTCAGTAAAACTACACTGTGTATACTATATACAGGGGCGTAGCCATCATTTCAGAAGTGAGGGGGACAGAAATGTTATATATATATATATATATACACACAC